TTATCCCTCCCCCATGTAATAGCAATGACATTAAGTGTAAAAAAAAAACATAAAAAAAAAAAAAAGAAGAGTAAAAAAATAAATAAAAGTCACATAAAAAAAGTAAAACCCCCCCAAAATTTTTGAAGTCACCCACATATAAACGTAAATACTCGATCACGGCGCCAGCATGTGAAAATGACAATTGCGCTACACGTTACATATCGTCGCAGTGAGATCAATCATTCATCAATCGACGAGAACACGAAACTGAAGAGCGGTAAAAGCTTTTAAAGCGTCGCCTATGGCCAATTTTGGGTATTGTAGTTTTTTTTTGAGGTTTCGCATGCGCAAATTTTAAGGCTTTACATGTTTGGTGTCTATTTAACCGACGTGACCCCGCCTTTTATGTTTTACCCCAAAAATTGGGAATAAATGTTTTACAACATGAATTTCAAAATGTTCACTACTCTCCAGCTAAAACGCAATTTAAAAAATGCCCCAAAAATGCGCTGCTCAGCGCGTTTCCATTGAAATCTGTATGGAAAGCGCGCCGATTCAGGCGACAAAAGTAGCTCAGGCAGCATTTTTGGGCGGGCGGTTGAGATGGGCGGAGCCGCGCGTTTGCATGAACGGTCCCCATAGGAATGAATGGGATTGTTGAGGTCAGCGGTTCGGGCAGACAAATCCGCGTGACCGCACCGCCCCCCCGGTGTGAACGCGGCCTTCTACAACACAGCGGAGCGTCCACCAACCGGAGCGCTCAGCTAAGAGGAACCTTGACCCACAGCGACCAATCAGAGGCCGCATTCCCCATGGTCATCCTCACCTACATGGTGTACAAGAATGTCACGAAACTTCCATTTCTGGGACACGGAATAAAGGAAGAGGTCACCCCACCAATTAGAACATAGGCCTCCTTCACACGAGAAGAGGCCGGCAGGTACAGCTCCGCGCACGGGCGTACCGAGCAGCTCCCGGGCGGGACAGGTGCTGGGGTGTGATTAGTACGCAGCCCTCGTCCTTCTCTATGGGACTGGCCGTACGCCGCCCTGCGCTCTCCTGCCCTGCACGTCCGTACTCGTACGCTGACAAGATGGATCCTTTCTGCGTCCGAGCCGGGACACCCGTACGGACGTGCACTTGGGGGTGAGCGTAGGGGGG